CATACGATATTAGAACATTAGTAATTTAGTGAGAAAGGAATACATTAAAAGACAAAAGAAAATGTTCAGCTTCAGTGATATTTTGTTTTTTAATGTAATTCCTATCCCACTAAATCACTAATGTTCTATATTCATATGTCAACGTTCTTGCAAGTAGGTGTATATAATTATGCAAAAATATTTTATAGTACTCTTTTGTGTATGATGACAGCATAGCTGCCCTGGCGAGGCATTGGTGTGGTCAGTACTTCCACCACAAAAGACAAGCAATTCAACCAAGTTTGGGTGAGAAAAACACAAAATGGGCAAAACAGATTGAGAGGTGTAGCCTCCCTAAATGGACTATGCTTGTCTTTTAAACAAATCATTTGTGTCTATTACATGTATATTAGCCCAAGAAATAGAAAGGCACAAAGTCACCATGAGATGATTCATATCATTATTTCAATGAGGCATTTTCCCACATAAATCATTATGAAATACTCAATTTTATATGTTGTCTCATAATATAATGCCACTTCTGTACAGGTCTTACATTTTAAAAATGTATTAACTAAAATGTAATAAGGTGCTCTTTCCTTTACTGGGGCTAATTTTGACACAACTGCTTGGTTTAAGAAATTATTGGTCATGTGACCTATAAAAGCTGTAGCTTACTTGTTCCAGATACCCACATAACTCTCATTTGAGTTGAATCTCCTGTTAAAGCAAGATGGCCTTGAAGAGGGATTTCTGCTCCACCTTTAAAGGACACCTTATTACTAACAGCTACCAACACCTTGTTTCTCTGGTAATATCGAAACTCACAAGAGGTCCTCATATTTACCAAAGATACATTGGCAACGCCAAATCCTTTGACATAGTAAGGGGACACTGTGACATTAATGAAGTCTAAATAATGATCAGGAGGATCATTCAATGGACAATACAATGCTATCATGTCTGATTTTGAAGCATTATGTACCCCAGACCAGATGACTGATACTTGTTCACCACTTTGTATAAAGTAAGGTTCGACATGCAGTTCTCCACTTGCACCTACTTCTTCTTCAATTGGAAGCTCGAATGTCTGTCGAATTTTTGCATCCACCAAGCTGCCATTCTGATTTCGACGACCAAAATATGTTTGTATGACAAGATCGGGGGTTTTAGCCTCAATGAATGATACAAAAAGAGGAATGAAAAGACAGGAAAAAAGAAAAATACGCAACATCTTTCCGTTCTGCTTTTAGCACGTCACAGCCCATCCATACCACAGGAAACCCATAGCCGAAACATTTTCTCAGCTTCAAACCGCATCATTCGCACTATTTCAGAATATTCAACTTCCTTGTTTTTTTTGTTTTTTTTGTTTTTTGTTTGCCTTTCATTCTTTTCTTTCCCTTTATACTGTTATTTCCAATTTTAACTATCTATGATGAGGCACACAAAATCAAGCATCAAGCAAAAAAGCACGCTTACTAGATTATAGGAGGCCTGTGCATGTGTCATATATGAAAATTCCACAGGAAGGCCAGAAAACAGAAAATATCTTTTTTTTTTTCATTTTGGTTTCATATCTATATTATAGTTTGTAAAAATGTTATGATTACCGTTTACAATGTAGCTGGCGTAGCGGCCCTCCGTGGTGTTGGTGTTGGGTGATTACTGCCGAAGGAGCACAGGTTGATCAAACATGGTAAGTTGGGCTCCCTGTGTTGCTCCCTGTGAATCATATATCCCAGGCGGCTCTGCAGATATCCAAAGTCTTTGATCATTTAGGAGTTCATTGTTGATCTGTTCATCGCAAGTGTTGTTACTGTATTTATTCAAGGTAATTTTGTTTTATTTATTTTTATGCACATTTCAATGGAAGTGTCTTAAAAGGTCGCTGTCGTTGAATCTAAAAAACGTTTCCCTCTTTTTTCAAGGAGGCTTGAAGTAGCTAAAGTGTATATGATATTCAAACTATGTCGTGCTGTGGAAAACAAGCTGACAAGCCTTGTGACAAGGGAATTAAAGAAAGTGTTAAAGAATACTATGGAAAACGCTTGAAGACTACAGAAGACCTGCAAACCAATGTGTGCACACAACCATGCGGTAAAATACCACAGCACGTTAAAGATGCCTTGAAGATGTGCCATGATGAAGTCATTTCCAAGTAAGCTAATATATTATTGAGCGCTAATAAGGATCAGGCTTACTTACCCATACAAATACAAAAATAGTGTTGACCCTCCCATTTTGGGTGTATTAAAACTGGATTATCTTCGATCCCCTTAATAGAGCACTCAGTCTATGATGTCACAAAAATTAATTTTCACTTGATCATATTCAGGGCTGTCAACCCCCGAGATATTCAAATCTGAAGAATTCATAGGGAAGGAACATGACGTCATAGCGCGTCAAAAAGCTCAAGAAAAGACGTCTTTCGCTTTGTAACATTTGATGTGATTGGTTTATTTCTGACCAATCAGATTATCGCWTATATTACAATGGCCTGCTTGCAAGAACAGTTTATGAGGAACGTTTTGATTTTGTTAGCGATGTAAAATAACACAAACAACATGAAATAATTGGAATTTTATGGTTGTGAAAGTCTAGTCTCACAAGACAAGAAATGGTCAGCTTTGGGGATTATCCGGGAGATTTGATACTCTAATCTGGAGACCAGGAGACGGTCCAAAATCTGGAGACTCCCAGTTTTTTTGACAGCCCTGCATATTTTTGGTTAAAAATTTCTATTAGACAATCAAAAAGGACATTTACACACCAAATTTGACGAGAATCGGACAAATATCATCTGAGACATGACCATTTGAATATATAATTACCCCATACAAATATCACTGTATTTTCAGCTTAATTCAAAACATTTTGAACTAAGCCGAAAATACAAAGATTTGTATGGGGTAATTATATATTCAAATGGTAATATTGTGTCTCAGCTGATATTTGACTGATTCTCTTCAAAATTGGTATTTCAAAATGTCTGTTTTGATTGTCTATAGAAATTAGAGATCTGAAATAATTAAAGTCAAAATTCTTTTTTTTTTTTGACTTCACACTTGAGTACTCTTTTCCTCTCTAAAAGATGAATTCTAGCTCCCTTACATTTGTGGTATAAATGCAGTGCATTCATTCACCTGAGAAATTGAGTTTATAAGTTTTGAATTTGGTATCCATTCAATGTATTCCAAAATTGTTTTGGATCTTTGCTTTGGTTTGATAGTCTCTACTGGTTTTCTTGTTGCATGCTTTTATTAATTCCTCCACGAAATCAAACACATTAATGTAAAGTCCAATTAACTCTGGCTTATAATTGTACATGTACTGTATGTTTGACTCGGAACAGGCAAGAAGATGTTTCAGGGTTTATACTGTAAGTTAGCTGTAATAGCCCAGAGGCCGTTGTTTCAGGGTACGGTTCAATCCATATCTGTGAGTTTATATATAACTGTGGTCTGACTTAGATCTGGTAGCCAAGAGGTTGTTTCAGAGTTCAATAAAATTGAGGCTTGTCAAGGTTTTCATGTTTGATACCAATAAATTAAGTCTTGTTTTTGGTTGTTTTTGGTTTACACTTTACGTGCAATATTTGCAGATACTATGGTTGTGGATTGGTGTTCCCAGAAGTCCTTGAAGGCACAAATGTCCTTGACCTTGGTAGTGGATCTGGTCGTGACTGCTTTGTACTCAGCAAGATGGTTGGTGAAAAAGGTCATGTGGTAGGGGTTGATATGACGCAAGAGCAGGTAAAATTGAAATAGGAAAAAAGGACATAATAAAAACCAGCTACAGGCCTCAGGGTTCTAAGCATCAGTATATACTGTATATATTTAACTTTAGGTACATTTCATCTTTAAGATTTCCAATAAGTGATGCTAAAAAAATGCTGGTTACATATGCCATCTCCAGTTAGGAACCCCACACAGTCATAGTTATCATATCCCTCCAGTCATGCATTGAGCCCACTATATATATCATAGGATTCATCTACAAGACAAGTATTTTTAACTTGCTGATCAAAAGACCTTATTCGTGGTGTGACAATGTTTTCCCAATTTAGCTTGGCACACCTCCAGAGGATTCATTTTCTTTTGTTTTTACTCTTCAAAAAATTCATGACTATCCTAAGGGATATGAAACAAATAATGATGATATCCTGACAAGTTTCAAAACAATAGCTGTTTATTCCCTAGAGGTTTGTCATGTTTAACTGTGAAAACATTGTCACACCATGAATAAGGAAATGGAATTAATTGATTATTTAAAATGTCTTTTTTTTCTTTTCTTTTTTTGCTCTATAGATTGATGTAGCCAACAAGTACCATGATTATCATGCAGAAAAGTTTGGCTACTCCAAGCCAAATACTCAATTCATATTGGGAGACATTGAAAACCTGGGTGAAGCTGGAATCAAGGATGGTTCTGTTGATGTCATTGTGTAAGTAGCTCACCTTAATCGTGGCTCAGGATTTTGGTTCTTTCTTGGTGTAATTCTCCCAAATTTTGCCAGAAGATTTATATATATCAAAAGGTTTGTCTTAATACCAGGTTTAAGCCCTAATTCAGCATTTTAACCATTTTAAATTAATCTTCTATAGATATATGCATGTCTTAGAAGGTTTAATCTTAATACCACTTGGACACTAGGACGCTTGAACACTAGGACACCAAAGGTAACCCATATGCAACACACTCTACCCTTTTCAAGTATACGCTAGGACACTAGGTGTATATGGGTTACCTTTGGTGCCCTAGTGTCCTAGTGTCCTAGTGTGTACTTGAAAAGGGTAGAGTGTGTTGCATATGGGTTACCTTTGGTCCTAGTGTCCTAGTGTGTACTTGAAAAGGGTAGAGTGTGTTGCATGGGTTACCTTTGGTGTCCTAGTGTCCTAGTATCCTAGTGTGTACTTGAAAAGGGTAAAGTGTGTTGCATATGGGTTACCTTTGGTGTCCTAGT